TTTCACTGACCTTGTACAAAGACTCCAGGTAGTACCTTCTTGGGCCAGCCAAGGTGGGACTCTGGTGTACTGAAAGATCCCCCAGTGACATATAGGGACAGGGACACACAAAGTCACAATGCAAAATCCAAGAAATCCCGTAGCCACCATCTCTCTGCCACAGATCCTTCTCTTACCCCATTCATACAACTTTTCAAACACCAGATTTTTCACTCCATCTCCATTTCACCAATGCTTAGCACCTTTGTCCAATTTAGCTCCCTGTAAACCATGCCCCTGCTGTCTCACTGCCCTTGGAATTATTCACTGGCCATCTCCCTGAACATCCCACCTCTTACCATTCTGCCTAGCACTCAGCCATTACAGCTGTAATGACCCACCACAAACTTCTTGCAGCTCACAGTCTCTGGGAACCCACCAGCACTTTGTGTGTCCCGTAAAACAGCAACTCAGCAGCAAAGCAACTCAAACTCTATTAGAAATGATACAGCCAACCCTAACCCACACAGTACTGTAGTTGAAATTCTTTTTGAGCATTTTCATCACTGCTGCATATCCTGAGCTGAGCGGGCAGCTCAGGAAGGGTATTTTACAGCTATGAAATCCTGGTGCTGGATATCCTGTAAAGTCAAGCTTCCACCTGACAGGCACGCACCACTCCACAGCAGACACACGGACCATTGCACATGCCCACTTTCTTTTTTTTCCTCTCCCAAGCAAGCAATATTAACCTATGATGGAGCTTTAAAATAGTTCCTGTGACTCCTGTTGTGCACAGAGCCTGGACTCCTGTCCTGTTCAAATGCAAAGGAGCTGCCAGCACACCCCAGAAGGGTAAGAAGTCCTTCTAAAGACTTGACATTGCACAGAGAGGTCTTATCGTCAGTTCTGTTTCCTCAAGGAGGCTTCCCAGCAGGCAGGAAAAGGGTTTGCCTTGAGGGCACAGATCTAGTGTCTGTCTCCTGGCAGCTTCCCTCACCTGCAGGTCAGGTTGGGTTGTCTGTGTGGCAGAGTCAGGCTTTCATTTCAGTCAGCTCTCTCATTCACACACACTCCCGGCTTTAAAATAACAAGCTGTTGTTCCCACAGACAGCAAATCACACATGTCAGACCCCCATCCTCCAGGAAAAGCCCCCGTTCCAGGAACTATGCATTCCCAGAAGAACAGAGGGAAGGCGGAAAGGACTTCTGAAGATGAGGGAGCAGTTCATTGTGGAAGGATAACTGGAAAGAGACGACAATCTTATCTAAGAAGTCCCCACTACTTCTTGGAAAATACTTCCCGCCCTAACTTCCCTCCCAACACGCACACACACACACACACACACAGAGCTTGGAAAAGAAGTCCAAGGGCAGTGGGGCAAAGAGATAGGAGTCTGGGGAGTGCAACTTGGCCAAACAGAACTGACAGGCAAGCCGGGAACACAGAGGAAACTTTCACTCAAAATGATAAAGCAGGTTTCCTGGTAGGGAGGAAAGGAACAAAAACTCCAGCTCTACAAGAAGAGGCAAGGATTCCTTACCCAACAGGGGACAATCCTTTCTAGCCATATATCAGAAAGACACACAAAAAGAGTAAAACCAAATGAAATACCTAAGCAGAGTAATAAGAGAGACTCTGCTGTCCTGCTAGAGAGAGGAACAAAGGGAGGGGGAAGCCTTTCAATATGAATTAAGTTACTCTATCCTCCCTGCATTGGCACAGCAGAAAGTAGCTGTGGGGAAGCTCCTCGTTGCTAGAGAAAGGAAGACAATACCCTGCAGATAGCACTTTTTTAATTCCAGTGATAGCCTCACATCTCATGCAGCTTCCCTGCTGTACACGCTCAGCCACTGCTGCCCATTTCCCCTGTTGACATGGACAGAAAATTGAGCAATTACCCTGGAACTCTTCTCTTTCAGATTGCCCAGATTGCTACATACACAGCATTAAGCCCTCAATTGCCCCTGGCCAAAAGTGACTCAACTAGGTCTGTCCTTTAGGAATTAAACACTTTTTTGTTGCTAGGGAAGGTTTATTATTCCTTAAGTTGTGATGTATTAAATCCTGTTAAAGCAGGTTTCCAGTGGCGCAGGTTCATTTGGACACAGAGGAACTAGCAGCAGGATACTATCCCATTTGCTGGGCCCATGCACTAGGAGATACCAGTGTGTCTATATGAGGATGGGCACTGAGCTCACAGCAGATATTGCAAGAGACCTCAGCATTCACCGGCTGGATGCAACAGAACCACAGCTGAAAAAAATGAGCATTTCTTTAAAAAGTTCTTCCAGCTTGGAGTTTTATAAGAGCAAATGATAGTTTCTGTTGAACACATCTCTTCACTTTCCTATAACTCAAAACTAGCAGCTCTTTAAAGTGATCCTGAACTAGCCTCTATGAAGAAAAGGGATTAGATAAAATGAATTCTGAGCACAGCCCAAGACAAGGTACTTTATCAATCACTAGCACTTCAATGGCTTTAATCACAGAGTATGGATGATTTGCACTTTCTGGGCTTCCCTGGGCAAAAATGGCTAAAACTGCAGATGTTTCCAAGCACCTCCTCCTGTCTTGTCCATGCTCTCACCATCTCCCATATTGTCTTGGTCTTCCCACAAAGTCCTTTCCTCAACCTGAGAAGCGACTGTCTTCCTCTCCCAAGCTCTCATGGAGATGAGACATCAGATGCTATTTCATGTACTTGATGAATGGCATGGGGTAGTGACAGAATTTTACTTTTATTTTACTGCTGTAACAACAGAGCATGTCAAACCAAAAATGTCTCCACTTGGTTATATACCTCACCTCCATTCTCCACAGGCCAAACTGTGGGCTACTTTTTTGTTTTTTTAATACTTTCTCCAAAGGACGCCAAATTCTGAGCCTCCTCATGTTAGTGCCATATAAGTAATTACAACTGAGCACATTGTAGATACACAAGGCTTTTTTTAAGGGCACATAGGATCATCTTTCAGGCCTCTAATGAAAAGGTCATATGAGGGACAACCAATGTTAATGGAATCGTACAGCCAGATCTCTAATAGGTTAAAGGAAGGCAATCCAAGCGCACGTTGACAGCAGCAATCATTAGACAACTGTGCCTGTTCATATTAAGGTGAACAAGCTAACACATTATGCAGCACAAAATGACCATGACCCATCCTTGGGGAGCCATACACCAACGTCTAGGGTTCTGTGTGTTTAGATGCTGAGCTTCTTTGTTACAGTTAAAGACACAAGGCGTAATTCCGTGCCAAGGAGGCCGATACAACGCAGTACAGCTACAGCACAGTGCTCTACCTTCTACGCTGTATTATTTATTTGCCTTCTTGTACTTATTCACTGAAGTAATTCTATTCAGGTTTAGGAATGTGTACGTCACTTTTCCTCTCTGCAATTGCTAAGCCCATATAGGGAACCCTTCTCTCAGTAGAACCATGACCACAACAACGCAGCATAATGGTTATTAAGAGATTCTCCATGACCAAAGTAGTTCCACAATCCAGTGTATTTGACTGTATCAGAAATTGCCTTGAAAGGAACTATAACCAGTCTAGCAGTGTCTTTCTTCTAACATGCACACATAATCCAAAGCTGAATTTTGGTTTGTCAACAATCCAAAATGACCTGTTAGCTGTAGGTTATCTACAGATAAATAAGTGAACTGCATTATGACTTATTATGCATTCATTCCACATTCTGTAACAATTCTATTAGGTATTTATTACTCAAGGTCTTGAAGCATTAAAAGTCACATGCTGCAAACATGTGGCAAGCATTTTTATTCCTGATTAGGAAAGAAAGTTATCAAATTCTGAATACAAGACCAAAGTTCAACAAGAAGGTCAGCACATATGTGAATAGTCAAGGAGCTATTTAGAACAGACTATCAGACTCAGTGATATACGCTGAAATTTAAGCTGAAGAAGCTTCTCAGGGGGGATATTAAATCTATTCCAAAGATGCCAATGCTATAAAGGTGCCATTTCTGGCAGTCATATGTTGCAATACTTAATCTGTCTGTAAGACCCAAATAAGTCTTCTATTTAGTCTCATTAACCATACTGATGTCTGAACCTTTGTGACTCCTGATAATTCTGTTGATTCTTGGTGATATTTTACAGATGCGCCTTTATATTCACTCTAGAAAATTCTCAGTCCTTAAAAAGTGAGGTAGCTTCTAGAAATTTTAATGGGTTTCTGTGCTCTCCAAGCTTCTCTGTACTCCGGCTAGAGTTTGTCTAGAACTTCATACTTAAGGTTTTTCCTGATATTTCTCTTAGCTTATTTCACCTTAGAAAAGCAGCTGATATATGCTATGAAAAAAACTGATGCTATGTCAGAAGCCTGGCAGAACTGCAATGGGATAACCTACCAGCTTGTTTGTTTAGCATATGAACTTTGATCTTTGGTTAGGGTAAGCAGATTTTTAAAATGCAGAATTTCATCAAGCCTTTATCACCCTAAACCAAAGAAGAGTGAGAGCTGGGGTACCTGGTGAGAACAGGATAAGGGGCCTCAGGAAAGCAGGGCAGGCACTTGTCCTGATGGGGAAAGATAACAGTGCTACCATTAAATAGAAGATGGGCTTGAAGTGGAGCTTATTATCGCCTGAACAGGGGGAGAACAGTGCTTTCTTTCCCTGCTCTAAATAATTTACTGGTCTTTTAGCCCTCTTCTCTCCTCAGTACACTATTCTTGTGGAGGTAATCACAAAAGAAAACATGTCCTCTAGCCTTTCCATCTTCCCAGAAGTGTTTGATCATCCTATGTTAATGAAGGGCTAGACTTAAACCACAGGTGTCAGGTTCTTTTCCTCCTTACCTTGCTTTCTTCCACCCAGCAGCTGAAGAGACAGCAGCTCTTCAGCAGCTGGGTGGGAAGCAGCTCCTGTTCCTGTGTTTGTTTACCCCAGGGCAGCCTGTTTCCTTGCCATTTCTTATGACATGCCTCTCCACTTTACTGGAGCACTGCCAGACAGAAGGCATTTCTTGCAGTTAAGCAAGTGCTACCTTACCTCCTCCATCATCTGATGCCTCGAGGCTCTGCTGCTTGAGACGGTGGCTGCAAGAAAACACAAGGAGGAAAAAATTTCAAATACATGCCCAGAAAAGGTATTTTTGGGTGGCCCCTTTCCCCCCATAGGCCTAGTAGCCTGTCAAATTCCCAAGTGGGCCCAGCCTGGAGACTGACTCTCCTATACTCCTCGTTGCTGGGCTCAGCAGAAATCTCAGTTCAGAGTGCTTAAACAAGACCTCTTGAACGTTAGACAACCCTCTAGGCTTTTTCACATTGCTGCTGAGCAGGGCCTAGTAAGGGCCTGGGGGGACAAGGGCTGTTTTCCACTTATCCTTCCTTCTGCCATATGCAAGGAACCACAGAGTCACAGCCCTGCCACATCCCAGGACACATCACATGCACTCATGCTAATCCCTACACCCTTCCCAAATTCCAGATCTTGGTATACAGGTGTGCAGTCATATGTCCCTACTTGATGAAGTCAGATGAAAGTTGTTGAAGAAGTCTATTTTGCCTTTCTTACAGAGAATAGAAACTTACTCTTCTACTTCTTCTGCATGCTTCCTTCCTGACCTGCAAAACAAGGAAAGGGTTATGGAAAAAGAGAAAAAAAAACACATCTGTCCCCACAACACTCTCTTTGTGCAAACAGTTCCTAAACTCAAGCATGGTATAACACATTGCACCCTCAAAGAATGCTGAGTGTAACAGACTAAAACAGTGAACTCTAAATCAGTGCATCAAAAAGCTCCTGAATGGATCAGATCAAAGCAGAGATATTTGGGAGACGAAAGAGCCAGGCCCAGAAACAGCAAGAGCAATACTCCCTATTTCCCTAGTTCCCCAGATACTTCTTCATCCCCTCTGCCATGAGCGCTATCTGAGTACGGAGGTCAGCACACGAGGAAGGAAGAAGATGCTATGCTCTTTCCACCTGCCCCTGGGAGACCAACAGGCCCTTCCTGGCCCGGTCTTGCACAAAAATTATCTGTTTGCCTTTGCAGGTTAGGAGCCCACCTGAGCTGGCCAAGTTCAGGCCGGACACGCTGCCATTGCAGTAAATCAGGGTTGATCTGGCTGAGTTAACAGGAGTTCATAATAATAACGTGGCGGGGAGGCGCTGGCAAATGGCTCCTCTCTCACTCTCCACCCCAGCAAGCCCAGAAGTAATTCAGTTCCGATTAGGGATGCTTGTTCAATATTCAAAATGTAAAACATGGAGGTTGCTGAACCAGCACTTTGAAAAGTTAATTAAATGCCAGGTTTCTTTTTAGCAGATACTCCATCACTCGCTGATTGCTTTGGCCATTTTGCAGAATGAAGTTTCAACTCCCTGTGTTGGGAATAAATATTCTCCCTGCCCATGAATTCAGGGTGGCATGAATAGGAATACACGAGGCTCTCACCCACCACACGCGCTGTCCCGGCAGGCACCATGAGACAAGAGAAGCTGCTCTCCTCCTCAGCTGCTCTCTGTTCCAGCAGGCCACAGGCCTCACCTAGCTCTCCTGTCAGGACTCAACGTCCAGCTAGGAGGAGAAGAGAGCCCCTTGTCTCCACTGCTCTCCCTGGAGCTAGCAGCCTGCGAGAAGCTAAAGATTAAACAAAGTCAGTGATCGGAGTCTACCAAAATGCACTGCCATGATTAGAACTGAAGCTACAGAAGTGACACCTGCACCTGTGCTTTGAGCTATGCCTGCACATGATTAGAACTGAAGCTACAGAAGTGAGCTTTGAGCTATACCTTTGCTCCTCACAAAAGGGCAGGAGCGTAACGGTGGCGGGGAATTTAGGAGAGGGCACTTGCAATGAGGAGTGACTACTCCTCACTCCAGTTCACTTCCATCCTCCTCCCCAGTAGTGCCAAGCACATGCAGCAAACCCTGCACAGTAAGGAGAGAGAAAGGCAGGACTCCAGAGGCCCCTCACTGGCTCACCCGGGAGATTCCGAATCGGAGAAGACAGAGACGAAAAGATGACCGTGATTTATCCTATTTCAGCAGTCCCTCCTGCCTACACAGAACTGCTTCCCCCACCCTGTCCTCAGAGCCTTGCCCTCTCGGAGCCGAAACACCCGCAGTGATGGGCATTTCTAGCTCTTCCCTCAGGAGGCAATCCTATAGCTTTGCACAGCAGGATGATTTCCTGGAGGGTCAATGTAAACTCTTCTTAGCATGATCCTATTACTCTTGATAATTGTCCATCCCAAATAATCCTCTCTTTTACTCAGTACTCCCACTCCTTGCATTCTTGCTCATCTCCTGTCCTCAGGCAGGAGTGAAATGCCCCTCATGTTCACTTCCCAGGAGAGGGTCACTATCCCTGTAAGCAGTTTCTGTTTCTTTCTCCTGAGCTCCCTGTCATCACAGATAACCAGGTGGCCCACAGGGAAGGCAGTCATATGTTAATCCTAAAGGCAGAGACTATTTTATTCATGTTCCCAGTCTTAAAGCTTTCTCGGCTCTCTCGACACATTAGAAAAGGACTCACTGAGGACAATAAGAAAATACACACCACAAGAATTCAGCTTTGTGATGTAGGCAACTCCAAACCTTGACAACTTTGCCAGGATTCCCAATGGCCCTGGCTAAGGTTTAATTTTTTGTCTCCTACTAACATCAGGCTTATTTTTGCACTGATGAATCAACAGACCCTTTCACCTAGGAGCTGTCCATGGAAGATGAACCCATAATTTATACAGAGGGATTTGCCAGGCTAGATCTATAAAGCTTCTGGCTTTTTAGGAAACAACCTCAAGCACACATTTCCAAACCCCTGAACAAAGGCTGAGGGCTACAAGTTCCACTGGACAATCAACACATTTCACAGTAAAATGGAGAAAGGGCTCCAGAAGATATAACAGCATTTTAGCAAGCTGTCTCCTGCCAGCTTGGCAGGATTGAGCAATTCAGACATAGGCAGAGTCATCAATAATGGATGTGGTTATTATTTATTTTTTGTAAGGTAGTAACTCTTAGTGTTCATAGATCAGGCCTACCTCTTGTATTACCTGCAATGTGCAACAAAATGCTAGTTCACGTCCCACCATGTATACTATGCCTGGTGACTTAGTACAAAAAAGCAGCAGTGACAAGAGTGGAAAACGGGGGAAAATGTCACACTTGACAATTTTGTACAGTATCTTTAGATGTCTCCACATTTTTAGAAGAATGTAGTTTCAGCATTCCCCAAACTATCCACAGTTATGCTAGTTTTATTTCATTATGAAATTGCTGCAGTTTCTTGAGAAAAAAAAACAAAAAACAGAAGGGAAAAATAGTACTGCCCCCTTCAATCCCAGAGTCAACTCAGTTGACTCTCCTGTCAAACAAGAATGAAAGTTCAGTTCCCTTCTCTCTCTAGGGCAATCTGGAGCCCCGCTGTCAGCCTCCCCAGAAGACCACCCTAGTCCCCAGGTTTCAGGGTACAAAGACAGCAGTGGGTGGTGCCAACTCTTGTGCTGACAGAACTGTGACTTATGTGGAACAATTAGATAATGAAGGAATTAGAGCAAGAGCTAGAAATGACTGGAGAAAAACTATGAAACTAGCATTTCAAACCAGCTGATAAGTCCACAGGTGGAGAACTAGCTGGGAAATGTGGCATGAAGCTCCTGGAGCATAGAAAGGACATGCATTGGGATATCCAAACACCCAGTGGCTTTGATAACGAAGCCATTTGGTAAAGACCTAATACCCAGCCTGCCATTTCCTTCCCTTCTCTTACAAGGCCTTATACCCAAACTTTCCCTTTAATTTTGTTCAATGACAATTACATTTTTATCCTTTGTTATAGTTTGGAAAATAAAAATGATACTTTTGGTTTGTTGCAGCCTGATCTTTTGCTTATTTGGCATACTTGCATTACCTAAATCTGTCTAACCAAGTGATCCAGACAAAAAAGAGAGGCTCAGCACTATACTCTAAAGTTTAAAACTATCAGAAGGCTAATAGAAAAAAAAAGTTTCTGAGAGACCCTTTAAAGGCACCCTAACTTGAATCCTGTTCCTTAAGGGAGGGCATGGCATGGGAATACCATTGCTTTAAAACTATTCACCTGCTTGTCTCTTTGGCCTCTAGTTGCTATAGGAAGTCTTGCAGGGATGTATCATAAAGTTATGCTCTTGTAAGTTCAGTGGAACACCCCATTCTGAAAGCTGAATCAGCTTGTCCATGCCAACTGCAACATGTTGAAACCAACACTTCATCCTTCTTAACTATCAAGCCTGGGTACCTAGCATCCTCCTCACCCACCACAACAGCACAGCTTTCCAGTGACCAGTTAGAGCAGAGATGGAAGAAACTACTGTGTAAACTCAAGGCAACATTGGCAGATGTCGGCTCTATCTCCCTTGCTCTCAGCATCTCCAAGGAATCTGCACTTCACTGGTTTGCCTGCTGCAGCTAGAGGCATAGCATAGGGAGGGCAACAAGAAGCATCTACAAAATGATGAGTTGTATATGAAATACAGGTACATTTATGCAAGAAAGGGCAGTCCTTAGCTTATCCTGGGACCAGTGCTCAGGAATGCACTGGGTCTGATGTATTATACACTAGTTTTTGTCAACCAGCCATACCTCCAATGGTCTCATTTCTTCTGATAAGCCCATTCCTTCCTGCAGACCAAAAAACATGAATTGACCCTATTACCCAGACAGCTGTGTTTAAAATCCCTTTCACTGCAAGGTTGCCTGCGCTCCCCAATATAACTCAAATCCTAAAATATTTTCACTGGCTTTCACCAGCTTCCATTCCTCTCTTTCAGTGGTCTGAATAGCTGGACAGAAGACCCCCAGCAGATCCCGTCTCCCTTTGTAATGCAGCTCCTATTACACAATGCTCCTTCTCTCCTGTGCGCCTGCTGGGGCAGGGTACAAATCTCTGCCTTTGCTCTCTATTCCAGCCAGCAAGAATCTCCCCACTGTACTAGCAAGAGGGGCTGAGCATCCAAATCAGGCTTTCCCCCGCCACCCCCACTGAACTGCCTTGGAACTTGCCGCCTGGTCTGTGCTGAAGGGTGAAAGGCAGTTCTAATGTAGACATCATCTCTGTTAAACTGTTTCTTTCTCATTTAATGGACTACCATGGAAATCTAAATGGAGATAAAGTAGCAGGGCTCAGAGAACAGCCAGGATGCTATCTTTATGCAGCATGACAATGTTCAGTGGTTAATTAGACACCGTTAACCTATTTTAGCAGGAGACATAACTGGGATGAATGGGGCGAGATGTCCTTGAAATCTTTTACCGTCCACAGCTCAGGAGAGCTCTAGTCGCACTGGTATCCTGCCCATGCCGCATCCAGGTGCCAGCAGGCCAGCACGCAAGGTGCCCACATGCCCTCGCAGGCACGAGGGGGTGGGCAGGACAGCTAAGAAAAAGTGAAGCAACTATGGTGGCTTGTTGAAACAAATTTTGGAGTGGCCTGACAAGAATGTGAGTGGTAAACGTGTCAGAAGCGGAGGCTGCGGGGCAGGCAGGGCTGAAAGCACAAGCAGGGGCTCCTTGGCAGGGATCAGTCGCCCGCGCCGGGGGCCGCGGCGCAGCGGGCGCAGCAGCGGCCCGGTCATGAGG